CGGCAGGTCCCCGGCGTCCAGCTCGTCGGGCAGGCCCACGCGGTAGGTGCCCGCGCCGCCGCCGCCCTCCAGCTGCACCAGCCGCAGCTCCTGGCCCGTACAGAAGGCGCGGATCTGGCACAGGTAGGTCATGACGATGAGCTTGTCGGGCACCGAGAGCAGCACCATGTCCGCGGGGTCCATCAGCCGCGACACGCCCAGGGCCGCGAAGCCATCGAAGGCCTAAGGGAAGGTGCCGGGCCACGGGTCAGCCACACCGTGCCCCGTCCCTGCTGAGAGGGTCTGCGGGACTCCGGTGCCCCCCACTTTGCCTTGCCATGCCTTCACGCAGCGGTTGGGGCATTTAATGGCTAGCCGCAGGCCGGCCCTGGAGTTCCCTAGCAACAGCACGCCCTCTGCCTGGAAAACCCAATTCGGAAGAATGAGCTTTGACGGAAAACAAAGACCCACAAGATAAAAATCCCTGGACAGCCAACAGGGCTGGCCCTGGAGCGGGAGGGGGGGGTCACCCTTCACCTAATTCACAAAGTGAAAACCAACGCTGTTCGGGTGAGTTGATGCCAACTCACGGGAAACCCCGTGGGGCCAGGGCCTCTTGCAGGACTTGAAGGACATAGTTGGAAACCACCAGCGCTCCCTGGGGTACAGATGGGAATTTCTGCTCCCCGTAAGCATTAGTCTCAAAAATGCACAGGGCAGTTCTACCCTGTCCTGTGGGGTCACCAGGATTCACAAAGTAAGAGAGAGAGAGAGAGAGAGAGAGAAGGGCAACTAAAATCCATGGATCACAAACAACTCTAAGTCTCAAAGTGAAAAAGGGGCGGAAGTATCCAGCCCCGGCCCTGCCTGCCCGGCTCCCTGTCCCCTCCCGCCACCTTCTCACCTTTTTATTGTTCTCTTTGATGTTCAGTGGCCCCAGGGAGGCATAGTCACTGCAGAGAAAGGGCCAGTCAGGGTCAGGGGCCTGGCTGGATGCTGCCCACCCGGCAGACTCCCCACTTCACTCCCCCGACCCGGACCCCACCCCGCAACAGCAGCTCACATCTTGTCCGGGTGGAACCGGTGCAGGATGGCGCAGAAAGCCAGCCCGTTGCGCCAGGATGTGGTGAAGTTGGTTACTCGAATGCCACGGTAGCCGGCGGTGACTTCCTGACACCACTCCAACAGGGACTGGCTGGAGCTGACCAGCACAGGTGGTCCCTGGGGACATGAGGGTAGGCTCAGGGATTGTGTGCCCTGGGCATGTGTGTACCCTCTCTGTTCCTTGGGAAGCCCAGGCTTAGCACCAACAGCCCCAGCTCTGGGGAAAAGCAGGGGTGGGCTTTTGGGGACTGCTGGCTATGGTGACAGCCCCGGTGCTCTGGCAAAAGGGTACCCAGCTCCAGGAGGATTTGCCAAGGTCCCTAATAGGTCAGTACTTCCCCAGCCCCAAGACAAGATTAGGAATCACCAGCAGCCACACCTCAGGGTCCGCCCAGAAAACCAGCTTGGGAGAGGGGAGGGCCCTAGCTTCATTCCGGGTCCAGGGAAAATGGGGTGGGAGAGCCAGGGCCTCCTGAGAGGGGAGGGGGCTCCTTGAAGCGGAGCCCCACCCCCACCCCCACTCAGACAACCAGGTGGATCCATGCACAGCTGACGCCCGCTCAGCCCCAAGTTAGTGGGAAGCAGCATACTGGACCTTGGCGGCCCCCCGTCCCTACCTGGCTGCCCGGCAGCCTCCTGTCCTCTTCCAGCTCCTCTGGGGAGGTAGCCCCCAAGGGCCTGGGCACCCCAGGCCCTGCCCCACTGGCCACCTGCACTTCCCCCAGGCTGATCTCTGCAGGGCTTCCTTCAGCTTCCAGTGCCTTCTCGGCCCCCAGGACCTGAGCCTCTGCTTTCTGGGCCTCAGAGAGTCTAGCTTTGTTTTCTGGGGACCCTAAAACTTCTGCTTCCAGGGTCCCCACAGCCCCGGATTGAGCTTCTGAGAGCGCCCATGCCCTGGCCTCTACCTCCTGGGCTCTCAAAACGTTAGTCTCTGTCTCCTGGGTCCCTGGACCCTCTGCTTCTGCTTTCTGGGGAGACCCTGAAACTTTGTGATCGGAGACTGGAGCCCTGGGAGCCTCATGTTTGGCTTCTAGAGTCCCAGACACCCCAGTCTCTGCCTCCTGAATCCCCAAAGTCTCGGCTTTTCCCTTCTCAGCATCTGAAACTCTTAGCTCTTGGGTCTTCAAGACTTCAGCACCTGCCATCACAGTCTTTGTCTCTGGCAACTCTGAGGGCTCTGTGCCTGCCTCCCGGGTCCCCGACAGCTCAGGTTCTCCTACTGCAGCTTCATCCCCTGGAGCCCCTGGACCCTCACATGCTACCTCCTGGGTCCCCAAGACCTTCGCTTCTGCTGTCCCAGTCTCTATCCCTGGGAGCCCTGGACCTCTGACCTCTGCTTCCTGAGCCTCCAAAATCTCCAATGCTGCGATTCTAGCCTCGGTCCCCACAACCACTGAATCCCTAGTTGGGATCTCCTGAGTCACTAATATCTCAGCCTCCGTCCTCCTGGCTTCTGCCCCTGGGACCCCTGAAGCCTCCATCTCTGTCTCCTGGGACCCCGATATCTCAAAATCTACTGTCTCAGCTTCTATCCTCAGTACCCCTGAAGCCCCTGATACCTCCTGGGTCCCCAGCATCTCAGGGCCTGCTGTCTTAGCATCTGCCCCCAGAACCTCAGAAACACCCCCTCCTGTCTTCTGCATCCCTCGTACCTCCGACTCTGCCTTCCCAGCAGGTCCTGGCTCCAGGCCCCTTGATCTCACCCCCTCTGTCTCTTGGGTCCCCAACACCTGCAACCTGGCCACCCCAGTCTCTGGTCCCAGGACCCTCGCATCTCCAGCTCCTTCCCACATTCCCAGAGTCCCAGACACTGTCCCTTGGGCAGGTGCTGGTGGGGCCTCCTGGCTCTGGCTCACCTGGGGCCTGGCGCTCGCTGCTCCAACAGAGGGGCCCTGCTCCAGGCCTGTCCCCCCAACACCAGGGGCTCTGCCCTGCACCTCTGTGCCCTCACACTCCTGGTCTGCAGCAGCTAGGAGCTTCTGAAGCTCATCAGGGTACCCGGAGCGCCCCGCAGGCTCTGCTGGGGGTGGGCTCAGGCCTGGAGGTGCCTCATCCCTGCTCCTGACCCCCAGCCTTCCCTGAGCACCCCTTGGAGGAGCCTCAGGAGGCCCCCTGAATCTTGCCTCTGCCTTTGCCCCAGTGGCTTCTGGTCCCTTCGTGACCACACGCCTGCCCTGGGACCCCTGCTCAGCTTCAACTGGAGGAGCAAGTGAGCTAACTGCTGCCTCCCCAGCCCCGCCTGCGGGGCTCCTTGGGGCCTCCTCCTCGACTCCTGACCTCTGCTCAGCCTCCACCCCACTGGCCTCCGGCCTGTCCCCAGAGCCCCCCTTCTCAGCCGTGGGCCTCAGCTCTCCCTGAACGGCGCAGGAGCCTCCAGCCTCCAGGCCTGGGCCTGGTTGGCCTCCCTGAGCCTCAGTCTCTTCCTGGGGTCTTGCCCAGATCTGGGGCTCCCCGGGTGAACCCATTCCAGCTGGGGCAGCCCCAGGGGTTTCAGGGGCCTCGTTCTTCTCATGACAGGCTGGGGGCTGGGGGACATCGGGGTCTTTCCGGAACCGGGGGGTTGGGGTGGGGGTGGCCACATCCTGGCTTGGCTGACTTGAAGACCTGAGGAGAGAGCAACGCGGGGTGCTGGGGGTGCTCACAGGGCCCCCATCTTAGCCCCACCCTCGCCCTTCCGATGGCTGGGCCCAGGTAGGGGGCAGCTTCCTAAAGGTGGGTTGGTGACAGCGTAGGGTGGGCGCCCATGCTCACCTCATCTCCGGTGGGGTTCCCGGGGGCCGGGGGACCTCAGGCCCCAATCGGCCCCCCTTTACAGATGCCTCTGACCCCAGGTTCCGGGAGGCCCTGGCTGGGGGTGCTGCCAGACTCACAGGGGCTGGGCTGGCGTCCTTAGCATGAGAGGGGATGGCAGCTGGGAAGGAAGGATGGGGGTGGTGGTGGATGTTGGAGCCTGGGTCCTGAGACTGAGACCCAGCCCCACCCCACCCCCGCCCCCGACCATGTCCCACCAGGGCCTCACCTGGCTGCTGGGGCCTGCCTCGGCCCTCCTCCTCTTCCTCACAGAGAGTCTGCAGCTCCCGAGAGGGCTCTGGGATGGGGTGAGGGACAAAATCAGCCCCAGGGAAGGTCCTGCTGGTCTGACCCGCCCCCTGGAGTGCTGGCCTACCTGGGAAGCAGCCTGTCCTTGGGGCACCCAGCCGGCCTAATCGCAGACAGGTGCAGAGCACAGAGCAAAGGAGAGAAATAACCACGTAGTAGGCAGAGACAGAGAAAGAGCCGGACCCAGCGCCTGGGTGGGCTGAGGGAGACAGCCACTCCCCAGTCCACCAAGGTGGGGAGTGGAGGGCAGGGCAGGCGGTGAGGACAGAGGTAAAGGCAGAGGGAGGGCCACAGGCCTGGACTCCATACAGGTCCCTCTGTGGATCCGGCCCTACCTGTTTCAGGTCAGGTAGGGGCCTGGCCCAGACAAGCACCCACCCAGGGGTGAGAAGGCCAGGGCTCCGAGGTGGCTGTGGAAAACTGACACTGAGGGGAACAAGACAAGGACTCTGTTCCTTAACTCATAACAGAGGGAAGCTGGAAAGCTAGTATTCCATAGTAGGAAAGCCTCCACTGTGGTGAGTTAGAGGAAAAGTCCAAGTACAGTACATGATCCTTCTTTAAATATCATTCCCACACATTCTCCCCTAACAACTGTGCTGCCTCAAAGTGAGCACATGGTTGCTTTTGTCTCCCTGTAGGAGCAGACATGATCCTTTTGACGTGACCCCCAGCCCCCCTCATAGTTTCCCCCAATGCAGGTATTCAGTTTCCTCACCTGTGAGCTCAGGGACCTTAATGTAGGCACCACCCACCTCCTGATGCATGTAACTACTGAATATGCATATCTTATGGCTACCTATAAATGTCCCAAGATAGTAAAGACGCTCGCTCTTCTCCCAGCTCTGCGTGGTCCATCAAGAGGAGCGGAGGTGCGTGTGCTACCATAAAAGGTGTCCGACTCCTTTATTTCCCACTCTCTCCTGTCTTTCTTACCCTCTGTGGCTTTACTATAGTATTCATATCGTAGCGCCTCCTGGCCCTTCGGTTGTTGGAGGCTGGCTTCCTCTGACAGGTGGCCCTGAGACCTCAGCCCAAAGGACTCAGGGCCACCACCGGATGAGGGGACAAGTTTGGACAATCAGGCTGCCAGGCAGGCTGGGACTGCCCGGGCGGTAATGAACCCCCCTCACCCCCACCGGGTCACTCCCCGGCCCTCAGAGTAGCTTCCCACTCACCTGGCTGAGGGGCCCGGGCTCTGGCCTCAGGGGCCCCTGGGCCATTCGCCTCCTCCTCCTCGTCGCTCTCGGCAAAGTCCTCCAAGTTGCCCACATCAGTAGGCTTCACGCTCATGAGGCTCGCCAGACTCTGCATGTCATCGTCCCTGAGGTCAGAGGTCAGAGGTTAAGGACTGGGCTGGGGTTGGCGGGGGTGGGCTGGGGCCAGGGTGGACCGGGGGCACTCACGTGGCTCGGCCCTCCCGCACGAGCACCCCTGAGAGGGTGAGACTCAGCTCGGCGTGCACCACTTTCACCGACTTGGGCTTCAGCCGCAGCCGCAGGGGGACCTGGGTGGGCATGGGGCCCCCGTGGTGGGCCAGGTCCACGTCGGCTGTGGCCAGCACCTTCCGCTGTCCTTTGGACTCCTGGAAACCAAGGGAAAGGATTGGGAGAGAGGGTCGGAGTTGCTGCAGGGGGCCCATGATCCTCCTGAGCGCCGCCCCCCACCCGCTCCCTGTCTCCTGGCCACTCACATTCTCAATGACAAAGGTCCACTCTTTGGCCTCATACTGCTCCACATGAGGGTCCTGGGTGAGGGGGATGCTGATGAGCGGGGCTCTGTCCCGATTTGATTCTTGGGGTGCTGCAGCCCCCTCCCCCTGCACCCAAGACCTCCAGCCTGCTGCTGCAGGAAGGCCTCTGGGTCATTCACACCAAAGCCTACCCCTCCCCATCATGCTTGGTCGCCGCTCGGTGGAGACCCAGGGAGGGTTTGCCAGCCTGCTCACCCTGTAGAGGGTCACCGCAACGTCCACGTTCTCAGGCACCAGCCACACCACGGTGCCCCGGTATGGGTTCTGGATGCCCGGCTGCCAGCTGTGGGCCTACAATGGGCAGACTGAGCCGCCGCACATGATGCCCTTCCCGTGTTCTGCCCCACTTTCCACCCGGCCGCCCTCCAAGACCCTGCTCCCCCTTCCCCCTTGACAAATCCGTTACCACCCCCCACCTTGGAGCAGATGCGCCGGTTCCGCCGAGTCCACACCACCACCAGCTTATCTGGCTGCCTGGGGGGAGGGGAAGCACAGATGGAGGGGGTACTCGGTCAGGCCCCCAAGCCTCCCTACTCCTCCTCTCCCTCCCCTAGCGCCCTTGGTGTGGGGGGGTCTTCCTTCTGCCCAGGCCTCCCCTCCCCCAGAGGACTACGGAGGGACTTTATCTCAGGCCACAGGGTGCAGGGTGGGGCTGCTGATTCGGGTGGGGCCCGCAGAAGGGCAAAGGCCCCAGCAGCGAGGGCTGGTGGCAGGCATGAGGGACAGCAGAGGGACAGGGACCCTGAGAGACAGACGCAGACCCAGGGAGAGACACAGAGAAAGTCTCTCTGCTCCTCATGTTGGGGGAGTGCCGCACCCCCCAGCCCGGTCCAGGTCCTGGGATGCCACAGGCAGGAGATTGGGGGGCTGCAGGGTAGCATGCTGAAAGCACATGGAGTTCACACCTAACTCATGCTGGGGGCGGCTGCCAGTGGGGAGCAAGGGTCTACGGGCATGCCGGTGAAGGTGGGGGCGGCGGGGGTGTGCATTCCCGTAAGAAGAGGAAATAAAGTAGAAGGGATGAAGCCAGGAGCGAGGTGGGGTGGCAGGTGGGCTTATCATTCAAGACCTCCCCTCTCCCCAGCCTCAGAACCTAGAGCCCGTGGTGCTGCTGCTTGGCTGGGAGGTGATGACGGGCAGCCTGGGGGTCAAGGACACCCATGGAGCACAGAAGTCTTCCGGGAAGGGGCATCTAAGCAGAACAGAAACCGGGACCAAGCAAGAGCAACAGCAAGTCCCAGAACTGGGACCAGCCCAGACCCAGAGCTCGGGTGGCTGGCCAGGACAGAGGACCCCACTGTGTCCATGAGAGACAGGCAGCCCCTCACCAGGATGCTCAGGTGGCCCCCCCTTCTGCCCCCCCAGAGACTGAAGCCCCTGAAGAGGATAAAGCTGAGCGAGGCTGGGGGTCAGGTATGATCACACAGCCCAGCCAGGCCCCAGGCTCCCCTCTGCAACCCTAAACTGCGGCCCAGGGCCCAGCAAGTGTAGCCATGGGGCCTTCCCCAGAAAGGGGAAGTGACCAAGGGTTACCCGGGAGGGTGGGGCCTGGCCTGCAGCCTGACTCAGGGAGCTGAGACCTGGGCAGGAGCAGCTTGAAAACCCTGCCTGCCACTGGTGACTCAGCCCCGTTGACCCTGCCCTTTTCTCCCAGACCTGAGTGCACCAAACCCCACCCCACCTCACCCAGGATGCTGAGGCAGAAGCCAAGGTCCAGGTCTCAGGGGACCCTGCACTGTGGGACCCCAGCCAGTCTCTGACCTCTTTGGGCCCTTTCCAAATAGTGACCAATCCCTGGCAGGCCCTGCTTGGGCAAAAGTGGGGAGGTGGCAGATGCCGGAGGGACGCCTGGCCTCGAGGTCACTTCCCTCCCCTTGGCCCCTCGGGGCTCTTGCTGGCCAGGCTCTTCCCCTTGGGAGCCTAAATTTAGCCCCGCCAGGCAGGCCGATGAGGCCCCCACAGCTGGGCCCTAATCCCGCTAAGGGAAGCTGACACCAGCAAGCACATATATTTAGGGTGTGACGCAGGGGTGGGTGGCAGCCGGCAGGGGCATGACAGTGGGTCCTAGGTAATCCGGGCCAGGCTTGTACCCCACCCACACACACACACACATATCTGTCCCCCTACCCCAGCCTGCCACCTGCCCTCCCTAGGCCCCTTCTGAGAAGACCCACAATGTTCTCGGTCCTCTCGGCCCCTTTAAGCGGCTCCCGCCTCCCTCCTCAACCCTCTGGCACTCAGTTTCCCCTTTTAAGGGCATTTCCAGAGGTTTCCAGCCTCAGAGGGCCCTCTCTGATGGAGAGGGGGTGTCCTCTGGCTCAACAAGTGAGCCAGGGCGGAGGGGGCAGCGAGGCACGCTTGACCTAAGGTGGACAAAAAGTTCGGGAAGCTGCCTGGTCTGGCACGGTTACCTGCAGACTTCATCCTGGGCAGCGCTGCTGGCTGGGGCAGGCGGCTTCCCTGCCCCAAGGTCTAGGGAAACTAGCGCCCAAGGGGATTCTCAAGACTAGAGGGCCTGTGTCTCAGCCCCCAATGCTGCCAGAGTCCCCCCATACACATACTACGGGCCCCATGAGTTGCAAAAGCATTTCAAATCTTGACAGCCAGGATGCAAGTTGGGGTGACGACACCTCCTGACCAAAGGCGGGGGCATCGTCCTCCAGCCCCTGGCCCACGAAGGTTCCCCCAAGCTCCGCCCCCCCCACACACACCACACACACCTACTCACCATTTCTTGGTGCACTCCACCACGAGCTCATGGTAACAGGCCACAAAGTGGAACTTGGCGGCCCGCTTGCCCACGCGCTGCAGCCGCTTCCACACCGAGGTCATGGTCCTCCGCTACCCGCTCCTCAATCCCAAGGCTCTTGCTGGCCCGCGCTCGCTGGCCCGGCACGGGTCCCCATTGGCCCCCGGGGCTGCTCTCCGAGCTGCCAGCCCCGTTCGTGCGGAAGTGTCCGAGGCTGGAGCCGCCGGGGTCCGGGAGGGCGCGCGTCGGACCGCGAGAGCGCAGAGCGGGCGAGCGCGCCGTTTCCTGGAGCCGCACCCCCCGACGGAAGGCGGGCGGGGCGCCGGCGGGGCGGGGGCCGGCCGGCCGCGGGCAGGGGCGGGGCGCCACGGCTTCCGGGGCCTCTGGCTCCGATCGGGAGTTGGGGGTGAGTTTGAGGGCTCCTGGGGCGCTGTGGGGGCACCGCACTAAGAGAGGCTGCCAGCACCTGGTGCCTCCCTTCTGGAGCTGTCCTAGGAGGTCCCAACCAAGGGGAGGGCCCTGTTTCAAGGCTCGCGGAACAGAGACCCAGAAAGGGGAAGGGACTTGCCCAGGGCCACAAAGCGAATCTGCGCCCGAGCTCTTTCCTGGACTCTGAGGTCACATCCCTACTGCCATCACACATCTAAGCCAGAGCAGGAAGGAGCAGAGATCGGGTACCTGGGTAGCTTTCCCCATCTCTCAGACTCTGTCCACCACGGCAGCAGGGCCAGCGCCCCACCGCAGCTGGAGGGTCACCCCTGGCCTCCAACCAAATGGATGCGCTTGGTGGGGACACCCATGTTGAGCTGTTTCTGGGTCCGTTCAAAAGTCATGCGCACAGCCACGGAGTTGGTGCTGCCAAGGAGTCTAGGGCAAGAGTTTCCGAGACTTATTAACTCTTTAGAGTGGAAAGCCCTTTCTCCCGGGGAGCGGCTAGTGGTTTTGAACTGCTAACCTTGAGGATCGCAGCGCAACGTGCAACCACGATGCCACGGGCTCCTTTGTTGTGTGCAGAGTCGTTGAGATGATGAAGGCATAAACCTCGGGAAGAATTTCGTGTTGGGCCTGACAGAGTTTGCGAGGGGAGGTACATGGAATCCGTTATCAAGGGCAGGAAAGTGTGTGTGAGCCTTTGTTTACATTTCCTCCCCTGGGAAGCCAGCCCGGAGCTGTGAGCCACCAGCTGTTTCACACCTGGATTACAGCCCTTATCTCCCGGAAGGTAATGAGTGCTCAGACCTCAGGCCGAGTTAGGGAACTCCCGGGGCAATACGTCACTAGGTCCCCTCCCCTGGCTAGCTGCCGGATTTGCCAGTGGACCTTTGCCAGTGGACCGGCCCCACTGAATGCTCCCAACGTGACAATACTGGGTCTGAGCAGGGCGGCCGCTCCACTGGAAGTGTGGTGTCTCCGGGAACAAGGGGCAGCAGCCGGGTTATGGGGATGAGCTGCTGGGACGTCTGAGGGCACCCCTCTCCACCTCAGGACCTTGCCGGTGTTGTGCAAGGGATCTGAGCCTCCCCAAATCTGCAGGCATCGTCCGGTTGGGCCGACCCAAGTCTGGATCCATCTCAGTGATGTAGCCCTGGGTTTCCTCTGAGAGTTCTAAACCTAAGTCCTAACGGGCCCTGATGGCATGGGATGGGAGGCGCCGGACGCATTCCCGTGGAATGGGAGGGGTGTGTGTCTGGGATCCCCTTCGCCGCCCAACCGCAGCTGTGAAGCCCCTAAGCCTGGTGAGGCCTGGGGTCCGGCGCCTTTCCTCCTACCCACGGGGCTCGGCTCCCAGGCCCTGCCTGGTGGCGCCTTCCCCTCTCTGGCGAGGAGGCCCCTTGGCCGCCCCGCTGTGGCCCACCCATTTCCTGTGCTGCCTCCACCCCGCCTCCCTCGAGTGGAAAGTTTCGCTCAAGATGGGCGGCTCCTTCCCCTTCCTTCCCAGCCAGCGTGAAGGGGGCGGGGGTGGGGGCGAGGGGCAGTTTGGGCTTCTAGGCTGCCGACCTGTGAGGGGTAATGGCTTGTGCAGTGCCCCGGTGGTGGGTGGCAGAGCCAAGTTCTGCCAGCTCAAAGCCTCTCCGTGCCACCCGAGGAGGAGAAGGAGGAGGAGGGATTCGCAGCCTGGCAGCACCAAGCCTTTGGTCCACTTGAGATTCCGGGCGCACCCTGCCGGCCGAACGAGGACCCACACCTGCCAACTTGGCAGTATTCCCGCCCCGGTGCGGTGTCATGTGTTGGGCAGTTCAGTATCACCAAGGTCTTTGCAGAAGGATGAAGTTTTCTACCAGCACAGAGTTAGTCTCAAAAACCCACAGGGACATTTCCACCCTGTCCTATAGGGTCGCTATTAATGGGAATAGACAGGGGGGCAGTGAGGTGTTTTTTTTTGTGGAGAACCAGGCAGTCAGAACAAAACAATGCTGAGAGTATTTATTTTATCTATGCACCAAGAGGTTAGCCCCTAAACTTAAATATCCAGCATGGAGCTTTGACCCTTTGGGCCATGGGAGGTTGGAGGGATGGGTCTTGGAGCCCTTACTCAGGGCAACGGAACCCAGTGAGCTGACGGGGTGCCCCTGAGCCAGCAGCTGCCAATAGCAGCAAAAGGTGAAATGGAGGCGGGCATTCTCACACCCAATGGCAGAGTTTCCTGGGGAGGACAGGATGCTTCGGCCCTGCCACCAGGCTTTGGCAAACTGGGTGTACATGGGAGAGGTGGAGGTTCTCCTGGGACCATAGGCAGAGGTTGCAGTCTGGTGACAACTAACCAAAGACAGAAGGGCATTGATAATTGTGGCTGGGACACAGGCCTTGCCCATCAGCGAGGTCAGGTGGCACAGGGGAGAGGCAGGCACTGCAGTCTGCTCGCCAAGGGTGTGTTTCAAAGCCTTTGGAACGGTCCTTCCCACCACCTGTCCCCCAGCTCTTCAGAGACTGATGTGGAAGGCATCCTGCAGCCACTGGTCACGGGCGTTGTGTGTCTGGGGGACAGTGAGGGGTGGTGGGTCAGCAGGCAGGCTGGCGTCGGGCTCCTCATCATCGGAGAGGCTGCCATCAGGTGGGTAGGAGCTGTCTGAGTGCAGGGAGGAGGACAGGTCCTGGCATAGGTGCTTGTAGTCCTGGATTGACTCATACAGGCCCCAGAGCTGGCACAGCAGGGACATGTCCAGTTGTCGCAGCCCCACCTGCAGACAACTGAGGGTGGGCTGGCGTTGGGGTCCAGGCCTCCCTCAGCCCTTTCCACTGTTCATAGGATCCCAGCCCAGGGGGCGCCCTGGCCAATCTTCGCGAACGTGTCCAAGCCCAAGTTCTTGTGACCATGAAACTTTTAGGTATAACGGGACCACCGTCTAGCGGGACGAAATGGGGGTCGTCAAAGTAGTCGGGGGGAACTACTGCCGTACACGGTAACTGGGGGGATGCTGGTGACCGTGACCACGAGTCCTCTGGGACCCTGGCGTCCGTGGCATGCCCCACCCTCCACCCACTCACCATCTCCTTGCGCAGC